AACCGCTCTCCCACGGCTTCACAGCACAGGCTGTAGCGTAGCTGCCAGGAAGGGCATTTAAATGTGACAAAAAGGAAACTCAACGTTTGCTCAACTTCTACTGAGGAAATTGACGGGCAACTAAACAGAAGTATTTTTAAATACACAGAAAGACCGCAGAAAGTCAGACACCTGGACTGATGGACGGTTTAATTCTTAGCTTTACGGCTGAATTCTAACAAAAATCTGATGGACGGTTTAATTCTTAGCTTTATGGATAAACTCTAACAAAAAAAGGACTATTAGCTCCAGTGAAACACGTTCCTGAACCATTGTGCTAATCTCAGATTATTTTTGGAGTTTAAATGAAGCCTTTTCTTAAATAAAGATCTGTTACTTGTCAACTTTGTATACGTTTAGGGTAATGTTGACAACATCGTTGTCATTTCTGTGTTGTGTTTTTAACAAGTTTAGCAATAAACTGGCTAACTTAAGTTACATTTTGTAAAATATTTTCACAACATCTTCACAGTTTTGTTCAAATGATTCTTACAGAGGTAAAATAAATAAAGGGTAACAAAGATATTTGACTACTATTGTCAACAAAAGGATTTAGAGAGACACTTCCTCTGAGTTTAGAAGTGTGGGAATGTTCGTGTTTCTGTGGTTTTTAAGAAAGTTGAAGACTTTAACCACAGGTCCAATGAAGACAAAGATGAAAATATCTTGTTATGAGTCAGTGAATGCAGCACAGAGGATGGCACGAGCCAAAAGCAAAGGCCACAGAGAACTTTACCTGTCAACAGGAAACCAAACCTGGGTGAACATGCAAATCTTCAGCTGCTGCAGCAGCGGAGCAGTATTAATGAGTAACCACAAGGTAAAAAGAAATGAAGTTTGTCTGCTCTTAGCTCTGGTGAAAATTCTACCTTTTTGTCCTTTTATTAGCAATTTTAGAATGAACAGCTGACTGCGGTCTCCACAACTTGATAAATAAAAATGCCCACAAGAGGGTGACTTTACCGTCCAAGGCTTTCTCAGTTCAGGTAAAGAGTCAGAGTTGTTGCCGGCTGCAGCTGCTGATCTGGGGCTGCCAGTCAATGCCTTGATCTTTTTGGACAGGTCCAGAGTGAGTAGGTTAAAAAGGCTGAACTTTCTCTTGTCCTTCTCCATCTCAGCATTTCCCACAACGCTTTCTCCTCCTGCCCACGAAGGCAAACATGCTGCTCCCCTCTCATAAATCAACTCGAGGCTCCAAACAGCCGTTCCGACTCATTTCTGCAATCAGCTTCAGATTGGACTGCAGGTCATTTTAGAAAAGGAGGAGAAAAAAAAAAAAGAACTCTCCAATCTCTGTCCTTTATTGGCCCACAGGGTCAAGAGGGCTCCGGCTCTGCTGTGTTTTTCTCTTTTATTAACTCTCCATCTTGTCTTCCATTATCCTCAGTCAAACTCAGCCCTCTGAGCCTCCGTGTGCATCTGAAGTCAACTAGAACTACAGCATGCAGGAAGGAAGAGACTGCTCTTCTCTGCTCTTACAGTCCTGCATCCGACCAGGCCCACACACACACACACACACACACACGCACACACACGCTGATTCACAGTCACACTGTCATGTGGTGGAACTTTGCTTTGTTCCTATGATAAAGAGATTTCCCTGCAACGTTGCCTTATTTACAGGAAAGGACAATTTCATCAGAGGAGTTTTTTCTATTTGCTTCTGTACGGATCACACACAGTGAGATTTATATAAAATCTTAGAGAAACCTGGCTTTAATTGTTCAGTCCAACTAATTTCAGTACTTAGTTGCGCTCTGTTGAAGGCTCTAATTCATCACTCTACAGCATGTGTTAAACTCAAGGTCCGTGGACCAAATATGGCCCACCAAGTCATTTTATGTGGCCCGCGGGAGCTTGAAATTAATTTCCTTATAATAATAATTGCCTTATAGTAAAGTCCTGCTGCTGAGTTTCTGAACCTGATGAATTAAAAGTTTTTGTTTTTATTACACAGAACAATGAACAATATTTGTTACTTGGCCCACTAAAACTCAATTGCAGTAACGTTTGGGGGTGCGGTAAGGTGCCGGGGGGTGGGGTTGTGTGAGGGGCTTCCAATGGAACATATGGACATACAGTATATAAGTATACCACTGCTGTAATGCTTGAATGATAACAAGCCTCCTGCCACTAGGTGGCAGCAATTCATACAGTGCTTTGTACAGATAAAAAATATACTTGTTATCAGGTTTTTAATAGTATTTCAATTGGTGGGGGTGTGGGTCTGAGGGGCCACAGTTCAACAGAGTTCATGACTCCAGGCCAACCTCCCTCAGTGTCTAATGGAGATTTTCCTGCCACTGTCCCTGCATGTCCTCCTCGTCCCTCTCACAACAGTCTATTCGTGGCCATCCTGTCTCCCAAAACGGCAGCTAAAGCGGCCCCTCGTCTTTTCCTTCCCTCCATCTCTCACTTTTATTGCATTTTCTTTCTTAAACACCTTTTCAACAGCGACTGAGAAGATGATGGAAAGAAACTGCCATAAATGAGCTTCAGCCAACTTCTAATTAAACCGCACACTCGAGGGAGGAAATCGACTTTGGATTTTGTGCAATTTGCAGAATTACATTTCCAAGGTCGGAAATGGAAATGCTTGTTATACTCCAGCGGGTATAAGGCAGACGTGTCTGTGTAAGCTGCAGTGAGGAGCAGGAGGCAAATAGAGGAGGAGTAGACGGAGGAGCGGCAGCATCATCAGGAGCGGTCACGTCTTACCTGATTTTTAATACTGGCAAAGTCCTTCTCTATCCAGGTTATATGAGACTCATGCTACAACAGTCAGACGGATGAGATGGGAAATCAGTAAGTTCATAATATTAAGATTACAGTTGAAAAAACTAGAAAAAAAAATGAACGGCAACCAGAAGAAAGACGCACAAGTTTTTGAAAAAACAAAAACAAAAACCAAAGAGACAGAAGAGCAGCCAGCGTTAGCCATACACTTCCACACTGTAGCATCAGCATCACATCTTCATAAGCATCAGAACTAACAACTGACCTGTGCAAGAATTTGTTTTCTTTTCCCAAGGGAACAACAAGAACACATGGACTTAGAGAAAAACATTTTCTAGTTTTCAGTTGTTTTTTTCCTGCATTGTTGTGATTAAGTTTTACATTTTAATTTGTGACTCAGTGACTCAGTGGTTGAGGATGTCTTTTTTTTTTCTTGCACTTCCTGAGCGAAAACAGCAAAACCTAGAAAACGGCACCATCAGAACTCTTATTCCTCAAACTAACTCTGTATTTATCAGTGTCTGTACCATTAGAGGTTTCACCGGACACTATATCTTTTGTCCTCGCAGCCTAAAAGAAGACACACAGAAGTTGGTCAAAAGAGCAAGAGTTTGAACAATTTGGTGACAGGAAATAACTTCTTCCCTCATGGTTCTCACTTCCTCTTTTGTCAAACTGATCTAACTTCCTTCCTGCTGGGTAACACCAGCACTGTAGCAGCAGGGAGCTGCATTTTACAGCACAAGTTGCTAGTTTTACTCATTTTAAATCAGCACTCAAACAAAATTGTACAACTGTGCACAAACATAAACACACACAGGTCTTGGCAACATGTATATAACCTAAATTATATGGATGTTATTTATTCAGATTGACTAGTCCAGTCCACTAATGACCATTACATATAATGCAATGGTGCATTGGATGAATGGAAGGGCAGTCGATTGGCTGAAAACACAAACTTCCTACGACGGACTAAATCTAGTAGAACTGAATTTAAAGTCTGCACATGACGATTAAAAAAATAAATGTGTTTAATTTTGCTAGTGAAGTGAAACAGTAACTTATGTTAATGGAAGGCTTCAAATTAGCATATACCGTACCTGTCACTGACTGTAACAGCTGGAACAAAATAAGAAGCTCAGCTTTACGTTTAACACACACACACACAAAAGCTGCTAGAATATCCCCCAGCCTCAATCACACACACTATCCTCGGATAAACGTAAAAAAAGGGCAGCAACTTGCCTGGTACGATCGCGTTTTTGTGCGAAATAGGAGTCTCCACATGGTCATGTTCAGACCAGTCCATGTCACTGACTGTCACAGTGTCACTGGTCGCAACTGCACAGCCTCTGTGGCAGAATTTGTCAACACCTTGCTGTGTGTGTGCAACATCACAAGGACAACGATACAATCTGCAATCAACACACACACACACACACACTGAGAGGGGAAGTGAAATAAAGTTGTAAAACGTGGACGGGAGCTGCAGCCTTATGTCAGGGATGGAGTCGTAGGACAGGAAGTGGCTGAAGGAAGTTGTATCTCATTTAGGAGATACTGCGGCAGAAACACAGGGCAGGTGTTTTATTGTTGTGGCTCAGAGGCTGAAGTAACCGCACACATCTGTAGGACTCTAAAGTGAAAAACTCTCAAAGACTTTAGAGTTTGATGTCTCAGGAGGCTTTGTTTTCTCTGATCTGTCATTGTTCTGTTCCATGGCCTCTGATCTCGGTACTGGACAACCTTCATTTACATACAACAATAATAAAATGTGCCGTTATCAAGAAAAAAAGCTAGAAAAGCATTGCTGCAGTGAAGCTTGTGAAAAGCCAATGTTTTTTTCGAAAACATAGCAAAATAGTTTAAAGTCCGACAACAACAACAGCTTAAACATAATCGAAAATAGCTAAGTTAGCTTGGTTAGCTAACATAGCAAAACAGACTGATAAGCAGGAGGAACTATCGAATAAGGGAGATTATGGAAAAGGTATCGAAACAGGAAAAAACAAAACAAGGCAATCAAATCAGATGTAGCAACAATGAAGGAGAAGTTGTTCAACAACAATCATGTGTACACTTATAATATATTGGGTAAAACCGAATGGAAATGCCTACAAAACATTTCATGGGGGGAAGTCATATTAATAGCCCACATTTTTACTATTGAAAATACTGTTGAAAAACAATCTAAATTATTCAGGTTTAATCAATTGTACGTGTTTATTACTCTTTAACGACTTTAACGATCAGATTTAACGATTGCTGATCGCTGATTTAGCAATTAAACCCAGAAGCAGCGCTTATTCCCCGACTCTGCCGATCGTGGTGTCATTCTCTTTGGTAAACGCTAGGGGCCAGTGTTAGGCTACAGCCCGGCTGTAAGGGCCGCTCCAGGGAAGTGTGCTGAAGTAAAGCTTTGCCAAGTAAGGACATATACACATCTGTAGCCTGTAGCCTCCGACATTAATTCACCGCTACAGACATTACGGGGGGACAAAACGAGAGAGTGTGGGCGGGGTGTGTCCGAGAGGCTGCCGCTGTAGCCCAAGTCCCTGCACCTTTAAATCCCTGCATCAACTGCTTTCACTAAAGCTCTAAACTGCTGAGTATAACTAAAAAAATAATGGCATGAAAGTCAAACCGGATGTGGCAAAAGGAATGATAAAAAAAAGAAAGAGGCAAAAAAATGCAAAAAATGTCACTGATGCCTATTCCTACTGCTGTAAGAAGCAGCAGCAGCAGCAGCAGCAGCAGCAACACCTGCTCGATTTGAAATTACATGACAGCTCTGACTGTTGGAACAGAGAGAGGTGACAGAGAGAAGAAGAAGAGAGTGGGAAGACAGGAAGGATTGGCACACAAGGAGGCAGAGATGGGGTTTTTGTAAAGGGGGTTTGAGGCTCTTTTAAAAAATACATAAATATTCAACAGAATGAGTCTATTAGTACCCAGTATGTTTGTAAAATTGGTCATAAAACAATTGAAAATGGATAATTTAAGGAATACAATACCAGTTCCAATGTCAGCAAAATAAAAACAAAAAATATTCTGACAAAATTACAAAAATGACAACAACAAAAAAAAAAAACAAAAAAAAAAAAAAAAACAGCTCCCTTCCGGAAGATACATGAGACTGAAGAATAAATACATTTATTTGGTAATACTTTGCCTGAAAACTGAAATAACTGGAATCAGCCCACCTTACAACAAAAATCTCCCACTGTACTTTACTAGATATGTTATGCCCGAAAAACTTCCAAGTTTGCTCGAAATTTCTCATTTTAAAATATTAAAATCAATGAAAACAAAATACAATTACTTGTATACAAATAAAAACAGGTAAATTGAAAAAAAAAATCCCAGGCCCTCTGCAATAACTTTGTGTACCACAACTTGTCCACCTGCCCCTTGTTGGAATACAGCATAAACCAGGGAATGTTCTTATTATGGAAAAAAAAAAATACTGTTGACAAACCGACTCAGTCGGGCAGAATATTCAACGTCAAAATAGAGGTTTAATGTGATTTAAGTGTCTTTACTGCTTTGTTGCAAAAATGAAAAGTTTCCCTTTTAAATCATCAATCAAGCCCCCCACTCTCCCTCGCCCTTATCTGTCTCCATCAGTCTGAAACTCCATCATCTCATCATCCACTGCTGCAGACAGAATCCTGCAGATTTTTATTGGGAGGTCAAGCGTGACGTGTTCATTCAGCNCATGACACAACAACCTCTTCAGGTTTGTCCAACTTCATTTTGTCCTGTCCTTGCCCACTGTCACTATAAGTCTCTCTGCTCTTTATTCATCTGCGGTGACGGCCATGACAGGAGGCTGACGCAGTAAAAGTGGACGTAAAGTCTGAGTTACAGTAGAGGGGACGGCTGAGCTCCCAGGCAGGTCACAGTACATACTCTAAGATAAAAGTAATATAGTATATACATATATGTCATAAATATTAATGAGGACAAATACATAAAGACTATTTCACTGGAACATCAAATAAATGTTCTTAAACAACCCCATAATCCTGAGTACATTAGAAGAGACTCTTGAAACAACAACATTTCACAGCAGTATAAAAA